TCTCCGAGTCATTGGTATTCGATGTGATAATAGCTTTTGTTTCAAGATTTCATTTTCATTCTTCTTATATTTAATTACAATACATTATAACCATGTACTTTTATATAGTCTCACTAAGCATTGTAGATTACACGTTATTGATTCACCTTTTTTCAGGAAAGAGGATTGTAGTCAAAAGGAAAGATAAGGAAGCTTGGTTGGGGTATTGACTCAAGTGTTAGCTTAGCTCTTTTGGGTATATTAGTATTTGCCTTAGGTGTGTTATATATATATATATATGTACGTATTCCAGCGGGTAGATATGTTTGTGGCTGATTATAGGTAACTTTTGGATTGTAAATCTTAAATTTTTGGGTTGATTTATGTTTTTGGTGAAAAAAAAAGAAATAAATGGATGAAACGCAACAAATTAATGTGGACACTTCAGAGTTTTATTCAAAATTATATCTCGTATATTTTAGTGGTTTAAAATTTGATTATTTTTGGAGATTAAACGGTAAAATGGTCAATAATGTAACCGTCTAATTACATCGAAACAGTGTTCCAGTTGACAATGTGGAGGAATCAGACTCATTCTATGAACCTTCTACATCAAATGAAGTATCAAATACAACTCTGAACATTGTAATTTCCCAAGTGACAGAAGAGATCCCAACATCAACTAAAGAACCTCAAATCTCAATTCTTATCACTGCTACTCCTCAAATAAATCAAACTGCTACAAATCCAGATATTACTCCGACCTCTGAATCGGCATAAGATGAACCTCTGAGCTCCTATGTCGACCCGAACGCAGATCAGAGAACTTTTCAACCTCTTCCTCACACAGTCAAATGGACAAGGGATCATCCTCTGCATCAAATCATAAGAAACCTTACATCCACTATGAGAACAAGATATGCATATGGGAATGAATGCATATTCACAACCTTCTTGAGCAAGGTAGAACTTACAAAAGTGTCAGAAGTTCTTGAAGACCCAGATTGGATCTTGGCCATGCAAGAGGATTGGAATTAGTTTGAACGACTAAAGCTTTCACGACTCGTGCCACGTCCAAAGGATAAGTTGATCATCGGTACCAAATAGGTATTTAAGAATAAAATGAATGAAAATGGTATCGACATTTGAAACAAGGAAATACTAGTCGTGAAGAGATACAATCAACAGAAAGGAGTGGACTATGATGAGACCTTTGCACCGGTGGCTAGAATGGAAGCAATCTGAATGTTCTTGGCATACACGGCCATAAGAACTTTAAGGTCTACGAAATGGACGTAAAAACTACCTTCCTCAACGGAGTCTTGAAGGAAGAAGTGTATGTCTCTCAACCCGAAGGATTCGTGAACGCCTCAAAACTGGATCACATCTATATCTTGGACATAGCTCTCTACGGTCTAAAACAAGCTCCATGAGCCTGGTATGATATACTCTCCGATTTTCTCCTCAAAGTTGGTTTTGCTAAAGGTAAAATCGATACCACTTTATTCATCAAAAAGGAAGGTAAGGAAATAATCTTAATACAGATATATGTAGACGATATAATCTTTGGCACTACTAATCCAAAATATTGTAAGAACTTCTCGGACCTCATGGTATCACGTTTTGAAATGAGCATAATAGGAGAATTAAATTTCTTTCTCGGACTTCAAATTAAACAATTTTCGAATGGTATTTTCATAAATGATTGGATCAATCAAGATTGCTCGAAGGAGAAGGACATTTACAAGGCCTTGGGGCAGTGACGTATTGCTAGACGCTTACCATCGTTTGTGTTACTCTGTGTCGTGTGCAAGTGAGAGAATTTAAGTTATTATATGCCACAACATGTGTCACACAAGGATACTACTAAGGAGTATATAAACCTATAGGGTCACACACAAAGAATATGCTTGCTTTCATTTGAATATAACCCAAAAGTCATGTTTAACTGTTAAATTATTACTCTTGAAGAATAATTATATAATATGAGTTAAAACGTAATTATGATAGTTACGGGATATTATCTGTAAATAAGCATAATTATTAATGTTTTAGATAATTATTTACTGATAAACATCAAACCTTATTTGAGTTATGGGTTGACTATGATTATATAATTAATGTCTTAGAGGAAGGATGTGCCAAATCGTAGCCCAAAGTTGTTGAAATCCGCCTAAATTGGCCCAAAAGTGAAGAGAATGAAGATTGGAACTGTTGATCTTGATTCACAGTTGTTGGAGATAGTATAAAACAAGGCTTGAAGTGGAGCTCGTGCTCACGGTTGCTGAAACACGAAAAGCAAAACATAAAATAGAAATAGGGAAGTGAAACATAGACTAGTAAATCAAAAAGTAAATTGTTGCTAGGTATTAGATTTAGATAAGGATCTTTATATATATATTGGTAGTTATCTTTTATATTTGATAGTTATCCATTATTTATGTATTATATATTGAGGTGAAGACATAATGAGAAAGGAAATCAAACCATTTATTCTATTATGGTATCAGAGCCGAAAACACATTCTCCTCCCTCCTAACTCTTCTAATCGGCACCGCCGGCCGCCATCCGATACCATGACTGGTTCAACTACCACCGCCGATTCTTCATCCATGTCTGGTTCTTCATCTACACCCTTTCACTCGACCTTACGGTCAATAATATCAAAACCTTCATCCCTATCACGTTAGAAACAGAAAAAGTTCAATACGCTTCATGGGCCGAGTTGTTCAAGATCCATGCCACGGCGTTTCAAGTTCTTGATCACATTATCCCACCACGAGATGATTCAGTTAATCCTATGGAAACGCCTTGATGCCATTGTACAACGATGGATTTATGGTACGATTTCTTCCGATCTTCTTCAAACTATTTTGGAACCGAATTCTACCACTCAAAAGGCATGGGGTCGTCTTAAGTAATTGTTTGACGACAATCAGCATTTACGAGCCATTCTTCTCCAAAATCAATTTTCTCGTCTTCATCAGTCCGAGTCTACTTCAGTCTCGGCATATTGTCAACAACTCAAATCTTTGGCCGATCAACTTGCCAATGTCGGCTCTCTGGTTTCCGAAAAGACTTTGGTGTTACAACTTGTTGCAGGGTTATCCGAGGCATATGACGGTGTGGCTACAATTATCCAACAATCCGATCCTCTTCCAGATTTTTTTTGTGCTCGTAGTATGCTCACCTTGGAGGAATCACGTAAAGCCAAATAGGTTCCATTACCATCTACATTATCGCATGTTGTTTTACTCACTCAATCCACATCGGCGACTCCATCCCCGCCGCCCAATCCGTCCTTGTCTTCAATGCAACAACAGCCTGATTGGTTCGGATTTCGGGGGCGTGGCACACGTGGTCGTGGGCGTGGCTATAGGGGCCATGGTGGTCGTGGATCCCGTGGTCGAGGGTTCTCATATTGGCCACGACCACCATGGTTTTCTCCCCCTCCATGGCAGCAACAACAGTGGTACATACCACCCTCCGCGTATCCAACGATGGGGTATTCGGCACCACATTGGACTCCAGGTCCTCCTCCCGGTATGTCTCGTTCATCAGCTCCCCCTTCCAAGCAAGCATATACCACCGACACTCAATCTCAATTTGCTCCTACATATATTGAATCGGCCCTTCACATTATGACGCTCAACCCACCGAATCATCAGTGGTATATGGATACTGGCGCCTCATCTCATATGACCTCGGACCAAAGTACTCTCTCTACCCGTAGTAATAATTCTTTTGCTCGTCATATAATTGTTGGGAATGGTGATTCTCTACCAATTAAGGGTTCCGGTATGACATCTCTTCCACCCCCGTTTCCTCCGTTTAAACTTACAAATATTCTACATGTTCCTAAAATTATCAAAAATCTTGTGTMKGTCCRTCAATTTACACGTGATAATTCTGTTTCCATTGAATTTGATCCGTTTGGTTTTTCCGTTAAGGATCTTGTGCAGGGCACCAAACTTCTCCGATGTGATAGCGATGGTCCACTTTATCCTCTTCTTCCGACTACATCATCGACTTCATTCCCGTCTCCATCAGCTTTTGCAGTCACRTCTCYTTCACTTTGGCATAMTYGTCTGGRTCATCCGGGCGATCAAGTTTTACATAGTMTTGTTTCTAGTCGTTTAATTTCTAGCGTAGGTAAAATTAATTCTGGTGTTTGCCATTCGTGTCAGTTGGGTAAACACAATGCATTATCGTTTGGTTTGTCTTTTTCCCAGTCAACTATACATAGTGACATTTGGATGTCTCCGGTTTTGAGTACTAGTGGTCATCGCTATTACTTGCTTTATCTTGATGATTATACGAACTTCGTGTGGACTTTCCCATTGGCAAATAAGTCTCAAACCTTTATGATGTTTCAACAATTTTACGCATATATTCGAACGCAATTCGAAACATCTATAAAACAATTCCAATGTGACAATGGGAAAGAATATAACACTTCAAAATTTCTCCAACTGTGCTCTAACAAAGGCATTCATATTCGTTTTTCATGTCCATACACATCTCCCCAAAATGGAAAAGCGGAACGGAAACTTCAAACCTTAAATAAAGCCACTCGTACCTTGTTACTTCATGGTCACATTCCACCATCATTCTGGTCGTATGCTCTCCAAACGGCTACCTATCTCCATAATATTCTTCCCTCGAAAATTTTGTCCTATAATTCTCCCACACAAATTCTCTACCACCAAATTCCATCCTATTCCCATTTACAGGCATTTGGGTGTCTATGCGTTCCTCACAAACCACCCTCCACCATCCATAAACTTGCCCCTCGCTCCACTCCTTGTGTGTTTATGGGTTATCCGCAAAACCATCGGGGTTATCTGCAAAACCATCGGGGTTATCATTGTTTCGATATGGTGTCTAAATGATTTTATATCTCTCGTCATGTTACCTTTGAGGAGTCAGTTTTCCCTTTTTCACACAAGCATACGCCCACAGCCACTTACGACTTTTTGGACACTCCTACCCATCCTATTTTTCAATTCCCTTCCCCATCCATGAAACCTCCGTCATCTCCTTTATCGCCTTCATCCAGTCCCTCACCGCCATCCACATTCCCGTCTCCTTCATATCACGTCCCTTCCACGACCGAACCTTCACTCGTCCCCAGCTTTTCCACACATCCCATGACTACCCGTAGTCGGGTTGGGATCACAAAACCCAATCCCAGGTATGCTTTGTCTGTCGTGTCTTCAATCGTGTCACCAGTTCCCACTTCTCATTTAGATGCTATATGGGATCCTAATTGGAAGAATGCCATGCTTAATGAGTATAAAACAATTATTACTAACGATCCTTGGGAGTTTGTGCCTCGCCTTTCGGGTGTTAATGTTATTCGATGTATGTGGGTGTTCACCCATAAATTTCATGCGAATGGTTCTCTTGAGTGGTATAAGGCACGTTTGGTTGTAAATGGCAGATCTCAACAGGTGGGAGTGGATTGTTACGAGACTTTTTCACCGGTGGTGAAACCAGCAACGATCCTTACAGTTCTGACACTGGCTCTTTCTAAAAAAATGGGATGTTCGGCAATTGGACGTGAAAAATGCTTTCCTTCATGGGCACCTTAATGAGACAGTGTTTATGCATCAGCCTTCGTGTTTTAAAGTCACCCAGTTCCCGAATCATGTCTGCCGCCTTAAACGCTCTCTTTATGGCTTGAAACAAGCCCCTCGCGTGTGGTACACTCGCTTTGCTACGTTTGTTACCTCTATAGGTTTCAAGCATAGTCGGTCTGACAATTCATTATTTACTTATCATAATGGGGGTCACGTGGCGTATCTCTTGTTATATGTGGATGACATCATTTTGACTGCCTCATCCCCTTCTCTTTGGCGATCCATTGTTGCCCGTTTAAATTCCGAGTTTGCTATAAAAGACCTCAGGAAGCTAAATCATTTCTTGGGGATTTCGGTTTCTCGGGATGCCCATGGATTATTTCTCTCGCAATCCAAGTATGCGGCTGATATACTGGATCGGGGAAATATGAGTAATTGCAATTCCGTGGCTACTCCGGTCGATACAAGTAGAAAGTTAAGTGCGTCTTCTGGTCCGCCGGTGGCAGACCCCACTCTTTATCGTAGCCTTACGGGGGCTCTTCAATATTTGACTTTTACATGACCCGATATTTCTTATGGAGTGCAACAAGTTTGTCTCTTTATGCATGATCTCCGAGATCCTCATTTTCAAGCTTTACGTCGTATTTTGCGCTACATCAAAGGGACACTTAAGATGGGATTACAGTTGTCCCCTGCATCATCTAACCACCAAGTTGCCTATACTGACGCGGACTAGGCTGGTTGTCCGGACACTCGTCGGTCCACGTCCGGGTATTGTGTTTTCTTCGGAGACTCTCTTATATCTTGGTCATCTAAACGTCAGGCCACTGTCTCCCGATCTAGTGCCGAGGCTGAATATCGGGGGGTTGTAAATGTTGTCTCCAAAACATGTTGGATACGCAATCTTCTTCTAGAGTTGCTTTGTCCGATCACGAAGGCCACATTCGTGTATTGTGATAATGTCAGTGCGGTTTACTCTCCGGCAACCCCGTCCAACATCGTCGTACGAAACATGTCGAGCTAGATATTCATTTTGTGCATGATCTGGTTGCACGAGGACAGGTTTGCGTTTTACATGTTCCTTCACGATTTCAGTTTGCTGACGTGTTTACTAAGGGTCTTCCACGGGTACTCTTTGAAGAATTTCGATCCAGTCTTCGCATTCGATCACCCGTCGCTTCAACTGCGGGGCGTATTAGATTTAGATAAGGATCTTTATATATATTGGTATTTATCTTTTATATTTTATAGTTATCCATTATTTATGTATTATATATTGAGGTGAAGAGATAATGAGAAAGGAAATCAAACCATTTATTCTATTACTAGGCTAGTTGCCTCTCCAGCAACGATGCCAAAAACTAGATGTGTTTTAAATGCATACCGCAAGCATAGTTATGTAACATAAGGGTCGATCATAGGGAGGTGATGGTCTAAACACTAACCACTTAATGATCATGGCCTAGTTATGCGAATCAGATAATTGACTTGATTATTATACTAATTAGACATAAAAAAATGAGATCAAGGGAAGAAGGTAACACAAGAAGGAACTAATAGTAAATAAAATAAAACAAATAACATCTATAACTAAAGGACAGTAGGTAATGTCAACTTCAGATTTTGGTGATGGTGAGAACTCGTTATGCAAAACTACTTCAACCGTCTTTCGAGGTGGAAAAGCTTTTCTAAACCAAGACTTATATTTACTTTCACAATATATACATTGGGAAGAAACTTTAGGATTTAAACAAAAAATTTCCCAATAACGTCCCTAACTATTTGCATGTTACGACCGTTGACATTGATCAACATAATCCAAGTAAAAGAGTAAGGCCTCGTTTACTAATCTCTTACCGCCTCTTACCCGGCTCTTACCCATTAAGAGATGCTTACCCGGGTAAGAGGTAAAAGTGTTTACTAAAACAAAAAAAAAAAAAAGGCTCTGACCGTCCTCTTACCACGGTCAGCAAAAAAATTCAATCTTACCATGGTAAGAGGTCTATTTTCCTTCTCTACCCTCCCATCTAAAACCCTAAAAGTGGATGAGCTTTCTTCATACCAAGTGCGACAGCAACTTCTTCAGGTATGGTTATTGATTTTTAAGAGATCTCTTCTTCCTTCTATTGATATCTAACATCCTAATCGATTTCTTGATTTCTTCCCTTTTTTCGATTTCATAAATCTGCAAAGAAAAGAGAAAGGGATCTTCGTTCTTCTCTGTTGATTCTCTGTTGATTTCGTGAAGCTTCAAACAATCAACCGACACCTTCTCCAGGTATGGTATTCGATTTTCTTCTATGTTGCTGCAAATGGGTTGATTTTGTTTTTGCCATTCTCTACTTTATTTTCTACAAAAGTGATGTAATGAATATGTTCTAATGGGTTTACCATTGAAGAAGAACACATGAAAAGCTAATCTACAAATGAAGAATGTTTACCATTGAAGAAGAACACATACAAACTCATTACTTGTTACCTCGTTGATGTACAATCAGGAAAATCAGAGATAAAATTGGAAGCCAAAACACCAAAATGTATACAATACTGCACTATTCTACATCACATAGAGAAGGGGGGGTTAGGCCAACATAATTACCTTTTTGCTCAACTTCTACATATTCAGTTCCACGTTCATCTCCTCACTTTCACAACATACTATTTATTCTGTGTCCAGTGAATGAGTTTCGCTATCTTGGTTGCCAACTTATGACTACTTGCTCTTATTTTAAAGAGATGGAATTTGCATAGAAAAGTGAAATTTGGGTTTGATTTACGTGGTATTTAACTTCTTGTGGAAATTTGGGTTTGATTTTAAAGAGATGGAATTTGCATAGAAAAGTCAAAAGATTTGGTGGGATGAAGAGATATTCATTGTGTGTAGGCTGACAATCTAGGTGGGTGAAGCTCAAGATATTGACTAACCTTATAGTATGTGTGTGAGGAGGGTAATGTATATTGGAAAGTGATGTGACACAAGAAGTGAAACAATGAAACAAGTAATCTCAAATAGTACAATTATTGCCCTTTTCTTTTGATTGATAACCCAAGAAAAAGATTGTGTGCAAAAGCTTTATCTCTTTGAATGTTGTAGTTTAGATTTAAAAAAGACAAATACATTTCTTCTTTCTTCTTGTTCTTGTTGTTCTTGATTTAAAAAAGACAAGTACCTTTCTTCTTTTTTTCTTGTTATTGTGTGTTTTAAGAGCTGTTATAGCTCTTTGATTGATCACCCTCCATATGTTTGCTTTCAATTCAAGATATATATATATATATATATATATATATATATATATATAAAGTACCATTGTTTTTGTCACAATACCATACTGTTGCCTAGGATATGTGATGAACCATTCTTAAGATAAAAGCATAACAAATAATAATGCTATTGCTTAACAATTGAAAAACACCTGCATGAATATTTTATGTCATGTATATATAAGGGATGACATAAAAAATGGTTTTCCTTTATTTATTTATTTCATACCAGTTCCACCTTCTTCAGCACATCAATCTCTGCATTACCCTTTATATTCTCACATAAGTTCTTTGTGAAAAGAGAGAGAATCTTTGCTCTTAAATCTTTCCTCATGTTTGGAATCAGACTTTCAATGAAATGTGCAATCCTCTCCCTCCTCTTTTTCATCATCATCTTTCTTCTCCACCTCCACAACCTTTTTGTTCTCCAATTGATCCAAAACCCCTTTAGCCTTGTGAAAATTCACAACCACCCTCTTATTCCGCCACCGTTCCTTAACCCTCCACCCAAAATTCAAAATCAATTCCTCCTCTCTCCTCCTTTTTGTAGGGGATGAAAGTAACCTCATACTTTCAATCCAAAATACCAAAATACTTGAGTTATGCCCTGTCTTTGGAAAAAAATACCAAAGTACTAACCAAATAAATTGTCATATAACTACTATTTATATGTAAAAATCTTATGTTGGTCTTCCTATGATCATTTTTGTTTATGCTGCTTGACTAGTTGCTTAGACTACACTTTTTATGTCATGTTACGCTTTGCAATTTTTCATGAACCAATAATCGAACCATATATTTGAGGCATATTTAATTAATTTTTATAGGTATGGAAAAAGTCGATGAATCTTCACAACCCAAGACAGCTAGGGTTAGTTGGAAAGATTGCAATGTGGTAAAAACTTTTCTAGAGTCATGTTTGCGAGAAATATCTATAAATGGGCAAGAGGGTGGTAGCCTTAAGGCAATTTCTTGGAGGAAAGTAGCTGAGACGTTAGAAAAGACACATAATTTTATTGTGGACCAAAGACAAATGAAAAACCATTACGACTACCTCAAAGGCAAATATGGAGCTTGGTCAAAGCTGAAAAACAAAACTGGAAATATCTATGATACGTCAACAAACTCTTTTAAGTTGTCTGAAGAGGAATGGCAAATGGAAACAAAGGTCATATTCTTTAGTTTTCTATTTTTCCTTTTTTTAATTTATTTACACATAACTTTTTTGTAAACAGTCCAATAAATATGTTGAAAAGTTGAGGACTGCACCACTACCATTTCCAGATCTTTGTGTTCAACTTTTTGACGGAGTTGCTTCCACGGGCGTTGGAAGTTGGGGGCCGACCTCTTTTGTTCCTAATCCTACATGCATTGCTCCCCAAACACAAGAGCAACAAAGTTCAAAAACATTGCCTACACGTGTTGCTCCTCAAATACAAGAAACACAAGAGCAACAAAGTTCAACATTGCCGTYGGTACAAGAGTCTTCTTCGCGTTCTCAATCTCAAAGAAAAAAACGAAAAAGTGTTCAACCAAGCAGTTCAGTAAATGATGAGGAGGTGTCTAAGATTGTCACTTCTGTGCAAAATGCTTTGGACAAACAACCCACGGAATCTGAGGTGGGTGCTTGCATTGAAAAACTGGAGAAATTTGGRTGGGGAAGCCCGTTGTATGAGGCAACACTTCATCTTTTTAGTCTAGGCCCTGATTATAAGAAGATTTGGTTGTGTTTGAAGGATGATAAGTGTGAG